GCCGGGTTGAGGAGGTGGGGTGCTGGGGTAGACACCCCCGTGGAGGTGTGCCGGTGCTGGTGAAGGAGTGCGGAGGGGCTGGGGCGCTCGGGGACGGGGTGGTGGCTACGCTGGCAGAGCCTTGGGGGCCCCAGCATTGTGGGGGGCTCCCTCATGGTGACACGGGGCTCCTGTGCACGCCTGTCCCTCCTGCTTGTGCCCCACAACACGGCTGCGCCACGGCCCCTGTCACGGTGGCAGCACTGGCCATGCCCTCTTGTGGCACCAAGCCCTTCGGGCACTGTCACCGGGCCAGGCACCGGGCAGGAACGGGACTGATGCAGGTGGGGTGGCCGGAGCCGGCTGCTGCCTGGCTCTGCAGTTTAACGTGAGTCAGCAGAGCGGGCGTGCGGGGAGGTAGCCCTGATGCCGGCCCCGTTCCCCACCAGGCAGCCGGTGAGCCCAGGCTGGAGCAGGGCGACGTGGCCGGCAGCGTGGCGTGACCATGCAGACGGAGGCCAGAGGGGATTTCTGCGGCAGGGACCAGCACCCCGGTGGGTGGGGGATCAGGGTAGTGGGGGGGGAGCAGGGTTTGGAGGCTGCCAGCAGCTGGGGAGGACGTGCTCCATAAGGTGACACCGCTGTATCACCCACTGGGGCTGGGCACGGCGGTGGTGCATGAGGTGAGATGGTGGGAGCAGGCAGGAGCAGGCAGCCCCCCTGTGCCCCCTGGGGAGCTCTTCCCAGTGTTGGAGGAGGGAGGGACCCCCTTTCCTGGCTGGAAGGAAGGTGCTGGCAGCACGGGATGCCTGCTCCCACCTTGTGGGGTCAGGACACGGCGGAGCCAGTGTTGGGGCACGGGTGTCCTGTGGCTCCGTGTACCAAGAACAGGAACAGAATATTCCCATAATCTCCTTTCCCCATCCCAGCTCCCTTGTGCTGGGGGGATTTCTGTCCCCTGTCCTGCTGTCACTGTCCTTGTGGGGGGAGGAGGAGATGCCTAACCTGTGGTGAGACCATCCTTGTGCCATCTTGTCTGGCAGCATGGTGATGGCAGGGCCTGATGGCACATGGTGCCAGTGTGTGGCCAGCTTTGTCCTGTCCCAGTGCTGGCCCCAGGTGGGCAGGAGACCCCATGTGCCCAGGGCATGCAGGGCACTGCTTGGACCCAGGCTTGGTGCTGCCCTGGGCATGCAGGGTTTCCTGCCCACCCTTAGTGCCCGCTCAGCCCCAGAGGGGTGCCTGGGCACGTCTGTGCCACAACCAAGGGCTGTGCCACGACAGCTCTTGCCGGGAGACAAACCGCCCCTTGTCTGGGCTCCGGCACAGGCCATGCTTTTGTCTCACCGACACAAAGGGGCTGCGCAGGGCGGGGGGCGCGGGGCTGCCGGCTGCCGGCACTGGGGCTGCTGGGCCCCGGGCAGCTCTGGCCTGTCCCCCCTGGGGCCCCAGTGCCCCCATCACCCTCAGCTGGGAAGCCCTTGGAGGGGGAAGAGGGGGGGCGCGGAGGGGCTCCATAAGGTATCTGCCATCACTGACATGGCAGGTGTCTGTGTCACAGAGCTCAGCAAGGAGACGCTGGTCCCAGAGCGACCCATGGGGACCCCCGCCCACGGGCCAGCCCAGGAGCCCCCTACAGCCCCTGCAGAGGAGCCAGGTGGCATCCCCATCCCCAGCGCTGGCCTGCTGCAGGTCACGGAGCGCCGACGTGAGTGAGGCCCTCCACAGGCATCCCCTGCCTGTCCCTGGGGTCCCCTGCCCGCCCCTGGCATCCCCTGCCTGCCCCTGGGGTCCCCTGTGCATCCATAGCATCTCCTGCTAGTCCCTGAGCTCTCCTGCCAGTCCCCGGGGTCCCTGACTGCCCATAGCATCTCCTACCTGCCTGCAGGCTCCCTGCCTGCCCCTGGCATCCCCTGCCTGTCTCTGGGGTCCCCTGCCAGCCCTTAGCATCCCCTGGGGTCCCCTGCCAGCCCTCAGACAGTCATCATCCCTGCCAAGCCCCTCATCCTGCCCTGCTCCCCTAGTTCCCTGAGCACCTGGGCACCCTCCACCCTGGGCACCCACCCACCCCACCGCTCCCAGCCCATCCTTGGGGTCTCCTGTCGGGTCCCTGAGCATGGCCGGATGCCCGCAGAGCCCCTGAGCAGCGTCTCCTCGCTGGAGGTGCACTTCGACCTGCTGGACCTGACGGAACTGACCGACATGTCAGACCAGGAGCTGGCTGAAGTCTTCGCCGACTCCGATGAGGAGAACGTGGCTGGAGAGTCGCCCAGCGGTGAGCGAACGGGGCCATCCTCGGCCTGTCCAACCGTCCTTCCATCCTTCTGTGTGTCTGGCCGGCCCTGAGCCATCTGTCCCCACAGGGCTGCAGCCGCAGGTGGTGCCACGGGCCGGGTACCTGCGCTCGCCCTCCTGGACACGAGCACGGGAGCAGGGCCGGGAGAAGAAGCACCTCAGCGACCCAGAATTGCCAGCAGGACCCCCAGACGCCTTCCTGCCCGCCGAACGGCCGCGGGAGCCCTAGGGGCTGCCCCGGCACCGGGGGACGGATGCAGGGACACGCCAGGGGACGGATGCGGGGACACGCCAGTGCCAGTCGCTTCCTTTCATCCCCAGCACCGTTGGAGCCCATCCCCGCCGCCCTGCCCGGGGCGCCCGGGGCACAGGACTGATGGGGTGGGGGCAGCTCGCCCGGAGGCACGGCAGACCGGCCCCGGGGAGAGGCAGCCCCCAGCCCCGCAGAAGGGAGGCACGGAGCCGGCCGAAGCCGGTGGCCCGGAGCTCTCCCCGGGGCGGCGGGGAAGGAGCAGCCGGCTCCCCGCGCCGGGACCCGGGGCTGCCCGTAGCCCAGCGCGGAGCCGGGGCCGGCGCGGTCCCGTCTGCCGGGAGCGGCGGCCAGGCCCGGTGGAGCATGGCCGGTGCCCGCCCGGTCCTCATGTAGCAACGTTTTGTTCCGGTAAAACCGACCGACCCACCACCGCCGCGGCTCTGCCCGTCTCCGTGGGAAGGGGGGGGATGTCGGAGGAGGCGACCCCCGGGCGGGACAGGGGGC